TCTTTGCTCTACCAACACAAAATTATTCACAAGCATAACAATAAATTTCAATCATTTAACGAAGGCGCATCTACAACAGTAATTAAGAAGGGATACGCAAAAGCTTCACATGGCTCACAATGACACGCAGCAAAGTTTCAAGAAATATCACAGCTTTAGATGCATCAGCTAATGGAAAGGTAAGTTTTTACAGTATACGCAGCTCAATTCAATGGACAGAGCTAGAACATGACAGAGCCCCTGTTTTGTCGGTCTGTCTAGCCCATGAGATCATGTGCTGAGCAAAAACAAAATTTTCTATGATGTAAGACAACGGCCTCAATCAAAAAAGAAATAGCACTGATTAGTAATTCCGAAACCTCCAATACTTGCATATCAGCTTCGCATAATTATATTTAAGGAATAATGATCGAAATTCCAGGGAATCATAACTACAATCCAGTCTAACGCATTCATAACTATTGCAAAAGCAGACCTAGAAGAAGTTCAGAATTTAAAATTTTAAAAAATACAAACGACCAATGAATCCCCCGACTGTTGAATCATTTCCTGTTTTTAATAGAGTTGACGGGCGCCTAAAAATAATAGCAATAAAAGGTTAAGAGGCGGAGCAATTTACTGTAAATAAACTTTCGGCTGAAAATTCTCACCAAGTAAGGAGGATCCGCTACTACAACTTTAAAGACATTCTTCAATCCCGAAGGTAACTCTTCAGGTTTGTTGTAATCATAATATGTGTAATCACCGCCATATTGCTCAAAACGTTTGTCATACTCAAGAAGTTGCAGAGAAACATTTGGATGCATTTTCTGAACATAAAGGAAATTTTTTTTGAATCAACACATTGTTCATTGGACAATGAACTACTTTTCATTATAATTTAATATCGTTAAAAATGAAACTAGCGCTTGTATTGTAATAGTAGAACTGTAGAGTGTCCCACTTGCAAGTCAGATTTAAAGCCACTTCCTGCTAATATTATAGACAGAGAATTACCTTAAGATAGGCATAAAGAGTGGGGCAAGCGATGCAAGCAACTCGAGAATGGTCGGTGCCTTGGCAGAGAGTAATGACCTCCTCAGCTAACGTCTTTGCGGTATCTGTACTGTACCAGAACTGGCTCATCCTCCAATCCTCGGACACCAAATCAACCTCCGAGTCTCCTCCAGTTGCCACATCAGAGTCGGCGACAGAGTGGTTCTGCTCGGCGAGAAATTCTTTGAGGGCGGCGAGGGCTTGCGAGCTCAAAACTGGTGGGTCATCGTCGTCGTCGACCGAGGGGGAAGAGGACTCGCAGAGTTTGTGAACAGAGTTAGGGTTTAGTTCAGGTTGCTCCATCACTGTAACCTTCGAAGCGAGCAAGGTTGTATTTTAGAAGTAGGCACTGCCCAGTGCCCACTGGCGAGAGTCGAGGGAAGAAATGGAATCGCAGTTCTTTTTTCTTCAAATGAAAATAACTTTATAATTGTAGTTAAAAAAAAAAATATAACTACCACCTCAACTCTAATTATAATACCTCAGAGGTCTATTATATATAATACCTTGTTTTTTAAGCATTAGTGAGTCATCTATATAGTATTTATGTATTCTCTATGTAAAATAATACTCCTCTTATTGTTAACATAAGACTTATTTAACTAATTTGAGTAAATTAAAAAAGTTAAGTAAGTTAGGTAATTATAAGAAATATGACACGTTTTTCTAAAATACTATAATCATTTTTCTTAATACCCCTCTTTTTCTACTACTTAATTAGGTTGAAGGAGTATCTGTAAGGGTAATTAAAAAAAATTGATAAATATGAAAAATGGATCTCATATTTAGAACAAAAACCAACTCAACAATTAAGTCTTATATTAAAGATTTCAGGAGTAAGATTTTAATCAGAGAAACACGAAAATCGTAATTAATTCTCAGATTCACTGATCCACCTTTAGCCGAATCATTATTTATATCGATATCTGATTTTCCTCTGGTAGTCCAAACTCAATGCAATGCTTAGACTCAGGATTGAGTGGCTGACCTCTCAAATGGTGGAAAAAAAGGGAGGGACTTCACAACTATTGCGTTACAAGGATTAATTGTAATTATAAAATTAGTAAAAATAATATCGATCATGTATTTACTTTTTCCACCTTAAATTAACCAATAAAATGAAACAAAACTATCATTATTAATAAATAAAGCCAACACCCTTGCGTATTAATATAATACGTACCATATTATATTTATCCGTCAAACAAAAAATTACGCCAACTTCATTATATTAAAAAACTATTTTGATATCCTTTTTTATTTAAAAAAAAAAGACCAAATGAAGCTAGTGTGGTTACGGATCAATTTCATTCTTCAACGCAATTCGATTAGATTCTTAGGTTTTTACTTATGTTCCGAGGTGTAATTTAGCGCCTCTTCCGTTGGCATTTCTTGGTGTTCCCACAGACTTTCCATCCGCAGATGACTTTCACCATACAGAGATATCATCTAATTTCAAGCTCCCAAAGTTGTCAACCAGGCTATGAAAGACTGACCACCAACCACGCCACGAAGCCCGATGATGAGAGACCAAAAACCAAGTTTAGAGATCAAGCCACAGAGCAAGATAAACACTCCGGTTAAATTCTGCTTTAATAGCACAGTGAAAGTACTTCACCCTCGACCAAACCTTAACGTTTCAAGATAGCAGAGAAATGCCCTATAAATCAATCAACAAACTAAGCAAAACTTGAGTGTTTCATTTGGATATTAAAGCCCAAAGACAGGGTATCAAAGCTTCAGTCATCATAGGAAACACATATTACGACAGCAGAAACTACAATGATCAGTGTCCACTACCACCAAAAAAAACACATTCATTATAATATCCAAAGCACGAAAAAACCACAGGGAAGAACCCTCTCTAGCGCAACCTCCTTGCTTCTCTTTCAGATTCAAGTAGGGTGAGAATGTCTCCTTCTCTCACTGGTCCTTTCACATTCCTCATGATGTACCGGTTGTGATCATCCAAAAACTTTACTCTGACCTGAGTCACCTGCCCTCTGGAACCAGTGCGACCCATAACTTTAACAACCACGGCATGCTTCACTTGAGACTCCATCCTGCCCGACACATTAGACGTGTGAAAATATGAAAGTGTAAGGACATGTCACAAACCCAAACTAAATCATGGCTCTTCTAATATCAAATTCAGAATAACAATTCGACAGCTGACTAAGACATCCAAAGAACAGGGGAACAAAACTAATTTCCAACAAAAATACCTAGAGTTCCCCTAATTAACAGTTAATGTGGGAACCGACAGGAGTCCTTACAAGAGGACTGAACTGATGTCAGCAGTACGTTGGGACTTGACACAAACATGGAAGCTCATTAAACTATAATAGAAGAAATCAGTCTTAACGTCTAAACATTAAAGCAAACAACCATCAGCAATTGAACATCCATTTTAAGATACAAAACCTCAGTAAATATTTATTATCAAAAGGACGATCTACACAACAGAAAAGTAGACATGATCCATGGCAAACATCTGTTTAGCAAAGAATCTTCCTCCCTTTTATTGACACTGTTAGTTGACTCTGAAATATCAAGCACATCTCAGATATCCACAACTCAATAAAACATGCCATAATTCATTCAAGCATTCAATTTATTTTATTATGTGCCTCCAGGGTTAGAAGATTTTCCTTTTTATTTACTTAATTTCACCGACACCCGCGTAACCCTAACCGAAAGCGAGCACATTCGCATATCCAACGTAGAAAAAAATGATGCCACTCAAACAGAAATCGCTTTCCACAGAGAACGACCCACAAACTTTCAAGAGATTTAATAGTATAATCAGAGAGAGACAGCACATGCAAGGTTCAAAAACCAGACATTGGAAGGGCCTGATGAACAATCACATTAAGATTAGAGTTGCAAATAAAATTTCACAAAAACATTAGTAACAGGACTCGTAACACACCTGGTCCAACTAAAGGCGAAGGGGGCTAGATGCACAAAGATGCGAGCGGCGCAACACTGATCTCACCCGGATACAAAACTAGTGCTAAGAAACCCTACTGGGTATTTATAAGGACCAGTGTGTTCCTTTTTTTTTTAATGGGCCGATCCCCTTTTAGATTTAGCCCGGAAATTTATGTTTCTTTAGGAGAAAATAAAATATTTATTGCAAAGAGTTGACTTGTAATTTAGAAAGTGAGCAGAATTCATAAAATTTTTAGGAAAAATAGAAAATAATAAAGTATGTTTTTTATATATTTTATTTTGAGTTTAAATAGAACTAATATCTATTATTTGGTTAACTGATTAATTATGGGATTTTTTTCTATAGAAATTGGAATTTTTGGAGTAAACAATGCTAATAGTTTATAGTTTCTAATTCTTGACTTAGAACTAATATTTCATATTTTACAATTAAGTCTCAAATCATGCAAAGTTTATTTTTTAAGTTTGACTTAGAATTTTAATTGGTAGTAGTATTTGGATACGATTTTAAATTTCAATTGGGTTATAACATTTAAAAAAAAAAAACTAATTTTTTTGTCTTATATTTTTAACTTGGTTACATTTCATGTTCTAAATTTTCACTCAGCATGACTCAATCTTTATATTTTTGATAAAGTTGCAACTCAATCTCCAAATTTAAATCATCACAATTCAATCTCCCTAATGTTAACTACTTAAAATTTTAGTTCCTAACTTCATAATATTATATATTTATCTTTTTAAATATAGGTACTATTTTTTTAAAACAGTTAATTATACTTTATTTTAAATTGAGTTTATTAGTTTAGTTTAAAATTTTAAAGTAAAATAATGAAATCAATTTAACGCTATTTATATATAATTTATCTAAATAGACCCTTCAATGAGAATTTATAAATCGGTTTTAAGGTATATTTAATATATAGAAGTTTCCCTTATTTCTTTTTGGCGGTTTGTATTAGCTGGTAAAGTCATTATCCTGTGAGGCGCAAGCTCACACTCTAGTCTACAATCTAGCCTGGTGCATTACCTGCGTAGCGATATTTTAAAGCGCGGTTAAAGAGTAACCCAACCCAAGATTCAATGGCCGCACTTGTCTTGCGTGGGTGTTGCTAACCGCCACAACTATTTTGCCGTTTGCTCTGCCTCGGTACCTGAGTGTTTCTATCCCCTGCTCCGCATGGAGCTTTCATCTTCCTCCACTTCAATTCGGGTTCCTGCTATAGTTCCCAGGCGGAATTCTTCTTATCGCATGAAAACACCGTGTCAGGCAAGACCTATATCCTCCAATTTGTTCTTAGGATTTTCCAGGATCTCGCACTCGGTTGGCCTATTCGATTGCACAAGCTGTTCTAAGCCTGTTTCGAAGAGACAACAGAGAGCCAATTCCATCAGGGTTTGTATTTCTTTCTGCATCCTACTATAATTCCGTTTCAACCATCTGTGCTTTGGTGCACATACTCGGGTTTTGGTAGGCATTTCGTTACAAAGTAAGGTCCAAGCCAAGGATGACCAGGAACACAATATCATTGGGCCGACGACGCTATGTAGTCAAGTTGAGTTTCCATTATTGGCGCCGCCAGTTTTGCTTATCAGTAGTTCGCGTACAGACACTCTATTTAGTCTTGACATGCTTTGATTAGGAAATGATATAGTTTGGAACATATGTTTCTTAGGCAAGCAACCTGTAATAACAGACTAACAGTGGTAGTACTATTATGGACTTGCGATGAAGGGTGCATCGACGAAGATAATGTTGACAGTTGAAGTCTGGTTGTTGAGCGGGTAATGCGACAAATGCAAGTGTTAAGTTGCGGTGCAGGATAAGTACCTAAGAACCTACGGCATGGCAAGATGATGATCATTGACACTGACTGTCGCAGTGTCGCAGAACTTTCAAAATGGGTGGAAGATTAAGGGGTGTTTGGCACCTATAAAATGGTTCTGAAGTTAAGAGGCAACTCCACATATTTATTTCGTAAACCGTAAAACATTTTGAAACTATGGTTTGGTTTCCATACTAATACTACACTGCGGTAGGGCGATAACTGTGAGTGTTATATCTGATGATGGGCCTGGACCGCCTGGTGATTGTCGTTATAACATTGCAACAGTGAAGTTACTGATTGCAATGATAATATCTAAGATCATAGATGACAATCTAACTGGCGAAGTTGGTAACGGTGGCAGTATGGTGTTTGCAGTGGTGGCGCAGGTCTGATCGCATGATACATTGAGGTGGCAATGACGAGGCAATCAGAACGAAGTGAAAAATAATAATTGGGGGATGACTATGTTAGGGAATTTAAGATTGTCACTCACACACTTATCCTGAGTGCTGCCAACAAGCGTGTCTTTATATTTACTGTGGTTTTTTTTTAATTCATTTTGAGGAAATTGCGGATGCGCTTAAAATATTCATTTAAAATAATAAAGCACATAAGTGTTCATCCTAGCATATATTTTTGTTCGACTTGCCCTTGGCTTCTAAATGTTTGTATTGGTTTCAAAGAACTGGTTTTTTTTTTTTAATGAACTTTTGATTTTGATATATGTGACTTGAGTCTGTTTTATCGCCGTTCTCTTGTGAATATGTTGTATCACTTTTGTTGAACCGAATGCTCCCAGGCCTGCAGTCAAGCTGGAGCTGTTGGACCTGACCATCCAATTGCTGACAGAGTTTCAGCTTTCAAAGATGCATGTTGGAGATTTTTACGACCCCATACTATACGGGGTACAGCATTAGGTTCTGTGTGAGTAACATCAAACCTTGATGCAATTCTTTTTTTTGTTTTTTGGATTTTTTTTGCTACTTCATGGCAAGCATGCTTATTTTCATTTTCACTTTTTGTCCCTACAGTGCTTTGGTAGCAAGAGCATTGATCGAGAATTCAAATTTGATAAAGTGGTCACTTCTGCTCAAGGCATTGTCGGGTCTTTTTGCCTTAATATGTGGGAATGGTTATATAGTTGGCATCAATCAAATTTATGACATTAGTATTGACAAGTATGATGCAGACGTATACAGTTTGTCCTCTTCCTATCTTTTTATTTCCTGGTCATTGCTTATCTATTGCTAAGTTGCAATATATTTTTTATTGCACCAACTCCAGGACATTTGCATTTTGAGACTCCGTTTCTTGGATTTGAACTTTTTCATGTTGCCTGCTGACTTTCCTCCTTGCTAAATGAATCTAAGCTAACTTTATGTTTGTTTTCAGGGTAAACAAACCCTATTTACCTATAGCCGCGGGAGATCTTTCAGTTCAATCTGCATGGTTGTTGGTGATATTTTTTGCTGCAGCGGGGTTGTTGATAGTTGGATTGAACTTTGGGCCTTTTATTTTTTCTCTTTACACTCTTGGCCTTCTTCTTGGCACCATATATTCTGTTCCTCCTTTTAGAATGAAAAGGTTTCCTGTGGCAGCATTTCTTATTATTGCCACGGTGAGAATTATTCTCCTTTCCCCTCAATCTTTGCATGTTCTAAGTGTTGATTTATTGATTTTTCTTAAAAAATAAAATGGATCCTGCGTTGACTTAGTTGCAATTCTTTAGTTGAATTCATTTTTTGTTCATAAGTTCTTACTATTGCACAAAGATTGACAGAAGCAGCATGTGCAGGTACGGGGTTTCCTTCTTAACTTTGGTGTGTATTATGCTACTAGAGCTGCTCTTGGACTTACCTTTCAATGGAGGTTTGTTAGAGTTTAGCATTTTTAACTTCATATTTCTAACTAGGTAATGTGAACAATATTAGTTGAACATCGGGCTTCCTGAAGACTACGGTTGTTATGAATTTATGGTGTTCCAATAAAAAAGGTTACAAATTAAAAAGTAACTGTGGAAGTCAGATTCCCTTAATGCGTGACACCAACTATGAAAGTTTCTACCTTGAAATGGTTGAGTCAGTCTTTTGTGTTTTCCAAGTAAAGCTATGCTTCCCTATTATGCCAAATTCAGGATGACATTAGCTTTTCATTGAATTTTTTTCATTATTGCAACTTATCGTGTGTTTATTTATGTATCTCTCCCTGCAGCTCTCCTGTGGTTTTCATCACAACCTTTGTAACATTGTTTGCACTGGTAATTGCTATAACAAAAGATCTTCCAGATGTTGAAGGGGATCGCAAGTAAGTTTTCAGATAAAGTTGGCTTAATGTTGCAGACCTATAATCTATTTATCTCGATTAGCTGAGTTGTAGATACAGTACCCTTTTTTTCCTTTTTGTAAGACACTACTTTCTTTTAACTGGGCTGGATTTTGCGCATTGCATAGGGTTTGGAAAATGAGGTCCTGACTCATGAGTAGCTTCACTTGTTAGAATTTCTATATTATATAGATTTACTTAGGTGTGCATGCATGTGTGTATTTAATGCATATTCACCCTCTGTTAGTGATTTCACTGTTCATCTAATGATGAATTGAATGTAATAACTATTTTAGGTATCAGATCTCAACCTTTGCTACCAAACTAGGAGTTCAAAATATTGCTTTCCTTGGTTCTGGAATTTTGCTGATGAACTATGTCGTTTCAATACTGGCAGCAATTTATTTTCCACAGGTGAATACAAACCCATGCTATTTGCTGGTCACTTATATGAAGTTCTTTATATTGTCTTCCACAAAAACAAAACCATATGTAAATTCTGGCACGTGTTTACAGGCTTTCAGGCGCTGGTTGCTGATACCGTCTCATATATTTTTTGCATCAAGCTTGATTTCTCAGGTTTGCTTCTGTGGGTTCTCAACTTTTGTGGCTGTTATTATTGTTCCGGTTGATTTTCATGCATGCTTTATGTTTTTTTTTTTATTTTTATATTCTTGATTTTACTCTTCCCCTTTATTTTTGTAGTTCCATGGTCCAAGCAAAATATGCTGCTTTGTCTTCTTCTTTTCCCTCTGTTAATATTTGTTCAGAGAAAGTGGTTACCAAATACTCCCTCTGTTCCTTATTATAAGAGACGAATACCCGATTACGTTGATAAAAAAAACAGTTAAATTAGTTAAGAACAATCAATGTGTAAAAAGTATGATTTTTTTCCCAAAATACCCTCATTAATAAGCATGAGAGAACAATTAAATTATTAAATGAAAGAGAAGTGGGAGGGAGAGAGAGTGTGAATTAGAGACAATAAATATAGGTAAATAAAAAAAACACAAAAAAGTAGAGACAACTTTTAAGTGTCTCTTATATAAGAACATGCCATAAGCATCAATTGTCTCTTATTAAGGAACGGAGGGAGTACCATATTTGATGTTGTGGATATTCAATATGTATGTGTTAAACTCTTAAAGCTTGTTGGACTTTGGCGTGTGTTCACTATTTGGAAGTGCTTCATCCTTTAAGTTTTCATATTTTTCCCTTTACTTTGTTTTGCTAGAGAAGAAAATTTTCTCCCCAAAATTTTTCCGCCATCCGAATTTTCTTCTTTCGAAGGGAAATTTTTCTTGAAAAAAGCATGGAAAGTTTTTCTAGTTTTTCATCTAACTAGCTATTATGACAGCTTACAGCCATATGTTCATACACTAATGTAAATATGCGATTACCCATACGCATTTGCGCATTTGCGCGTATAGACACCTTTACATTTGCACACATGCGAATTGCACCTACATATAAAAACATGCACCTACACACACGTTTGTTCACATGGCAGCGCACGGTCACATTTACATATACATCCACTTGCAAATACACATATACATCCACATGAGAGTACAAATGATTACATATCCATGCTTACATAAGCCGGCATGCAAATGTGTGTACATGCCCACATGTATTTACATATGCAAGTAGACATGCATTTAAACACAGAAGGCTTCTGCATTCATATATGCATGAAGAGATGCCCCCTTGTGTTGTGTAACCATTTGCTAGCACTTGGCAATCTCCACTGTCTATCATATCCCACCCTTTTTTCATGCAATCCAACCAAAATAGAACTTTTGAAGGAAAAGTTTTCATGATAACATGATAACAAGAAACTGAATTTTGTCATGGAATTGGGTTTAGGAAGAAAAATTTTCATAAAGAATCATTTTTCCTATGTCACGGCCTTAATGAAAGGAGACTTTGTATGGCTTGACAGAGAAGAGAAATGATCTCACAAGAAGATGAGGAACTCTCCTAAAACAATGGCAAACTGACAAAAAGAAAACAACAGAAGAAAGAAGCATTGGTTTAAGAGATCACTTCGATACCTTTGCGTGTTTGATATATAAAACCCTTTCAAAGTTCCTTGAGCTGAAACCCCACATTACACTCAAACCAAATGAACCAGTATACAGTAAAAGGAACACTGCTCCAGAACATTGTATACGCCTTCCTGAAGTCAAAATCTTTCAACTAAATGGAGATATGTTCCAGGGGACCGGCATTTTACTTTTCAAGTTTGTAGTTTTTTTTCCCTTTTGTAAATACACACTTAATTTTTCCTGTCAGTGCTGCCTAAAACTTATCACCTTTATTCTGATCCTGTGTGAATAGTTGTTGACCAGCTGACTGACTGTTCTAGAAAAGATGGACACATAGACAAACAAGGAAAACAAGGAAGATTCTTCTTCCTTCAATGTATCTTTTAGCAGAAAGAAACTTGCTTTTAACTCTGCGTTGCTGAAGTTGGGGTGCGATATATTTTAGTGCTATCTAGATTTCTAGTCCCTGGTGATATCACTAGCACAGGTGGATGAAATTTTCTTGAAAATGACACTGATAGTAATGCGCTGACTTTTGGTAGTTCTTACTAATGCCTGCTTATTGGAACCTAAATGTCTGTGAAAGCTTCTTGTCTGGTGTGTTCTCATGCTCTCTTTTTCTATAACTCAGGCACATGCCAAAATCTGAAATTATTTAATTGCCATAACGGTTTTTTCTTCCTGTATTTCAGACATGGGCATTAGAACGAGCTAATTATACCAAGGTACGCTTTTCTTCGTTTGCCTTGAAAATATTTATAGCAGCTTTTTCAATATTTTCATTATGTTATTCCAACACACTTCAAGAATGAAGTTGTAAAACTTTCGGAATTTGGATCTTTTCTCTATCTTTTGTAGCACCATTCGGGTGATATTAAACTGTGCATCCACCGTGCATCCTAAACCTCAATTGGAAGCTGCTAATTTTGCAGTTCCATTTTAACTTATTGCCTGTTTAAATTTTCAAGCACCATCTGGGACCAAAAGGAGTAGATTGACACGTCATGCAAATCAACTTCATATATTTTGAACCAAGGATTATATTATGTGGATTTGGATTAATTTGAGTTTAGTTGCATTTTGTTTTTTGGGTAGAAGTTTACTTGCATTATCGGTAGTTCTGGTTTTCCCATCCTTTATGGGTCTATATAAAGCCCAAGATTGGGTCAATAAAAGGTTAATTACTCTGGCCTGTAAGATCTTTTTCGGCCCGACCTTTATTGGTTCAGACCTTAGCGTGCAACCCAACACTTTTGTTTTGCATCTTTTTTTTTTCTTTTTTTTTTGCGGTTTTGAAGACCATTTTTGCTGGTACGGTAAAGTAATTTCCACTCTCTTAAAATGTCCGATTCTATGCTGCAGGAGGCAATTTCGGGGTTCTATCGATTTATCTGGAATCTTTTTTACGCTGAATATGCCTTGTTTCCGTTCATCTAGCGAACGCCGTTCATTTGTAGATGAGGTGGAGAAGCTTGCATGCACTGGTAGATAATTTTTGATGTTGTATCATGTAAACTATTTTTCCCCCCTTTTTCTTGGTAGATATAATGTATGGCAAACATCTTGTTATAAGACGTAGTACCATGGGAATTCTACCCTGAGCTTGGATTTTACGCTGATGCATGCCCAAATATACCGGTTGGACATATCAGTAATTCATCCTTGACAAATGGTCAAAATACGCGCGTTCCTTAACCTGGTATACTGAACACCTTCAGAGACTAATCGATCATCTAAAGAGGACATCACTTGTCGCTACAGCCGACACATCGCATATTCGGAATGGCTAACATGCACAACTATCTTGCTAGTTCATTGATTTCCACGATGCCTTGTTTCCAATTGGAACCAGAGCTTGCAACATTCTTCTGGTTCTTGTAAACACTACACGACCCACAAAAACCTCGTGGGCAAGAGAACGGCCATCAGAAGCATTGTGGAGTGAGGGATAACGTCAGTTTGGTTTTCTGGATTTCAACAGAAGCACAGGACCACTCAGTTTGACTTTCAATCAGAGGAAAATGATCGGGTAGAGTGAATAAACTATGGTTTTTGGGAGAAACGAGAGCTTGAAAGGACCCTGGGAGATGGAGAAATAGATCTAGTCCTTGGGGATAAGTTTTGGTGTTCCAGAATCCGAAACTGTAGTTCTGATGGGTAGTCTCTCATGCACCCAATCCTTGGGCCAGCACCTGTTGTCCATTTGGTAGATAATTGATGGGCCAACTGATACGACTTCATGGACTTGTGGGAATCTATCCTCTTCATTATTTTTTCTCTCGGAATAGTATCATGATCACCTTTCCCTTGATGTTCAACAAACAAGTTCGATTTGGAAACCATGAATTCTGACTCATCAATATATGATTCTCCTGCTGTCTCGTCTTCTGCTGTCTCATAACCATCTGATAACGAATCTGGAGCCAAAAAATAAACACTTAACGGATATGATTGCCTCCCAAAAATGTCTGACACATTGTCTCGTCTTGGTATTTCGAGTGCGGATAATTTTGACCTCAGTCCTCCAGACAATCTTGAAGAGCGCGGATAAGAATTAGACTTGTTATTAGAATCCTCATTTCTCAAGTCAGATGTCATCTTAGCTGATGTGCCAGAACTTCCCGGATCACCACCGTCTTGAGGTAACTCTGCCAGCGAAGAATTGCCTCGGGAGATGAGATCCTTTTCCTCTTGGGCCATTTCTTCATCATCTTCTCCAGGGTTTTCCTGGGTTTAACATAATAGAAAGAAGTGAGAAACTTGCCTTAAATTGTTTTCCTGCATTATGTTGTTGGACTATCTTTTTCTTTACATCTAATGAAGGCTCAAGTCAAGTTCCTATGCAGAATAGCTTGGCCAGCGGTCAGCAGCCATATATGTCCCTGCATGATTTGTTTTGGCATAAGATATCTTAAAAAGAAACAAGGTCTCGCATCTTTTACCTCTATATCTGTAAGATCCACGCCGTGTTCTATGAGGAATGACAAGAATGCCTGAAAATTTTCCTGTGTCGGAAGATAATGACCGCTGTGAGCCCAAACAGCCTTTGGAGTGAAGAAAGATTAATGTCAGTATAACAAACAGTCAAACAGGTAGCAAAGGAATGCGGGTGATCAATCTACTCTGGATACCTTAATGACACCACCTTCCACCACCAATCTTCCAGCAGACAACGTGGCTCCCCCTGCCAGGAAGCTTGAATGTTGAAATTTGCCCTTAATCTTCTGTCCAATATATAGAGTTTTGGATGTGCTGAGCACAAAAATCCACTTAGCATCTCCTCTAGTTTCAACAAGTTTCCCATTCTGCTTGTGGAAGAGTCGCCCATTCTCTATTGCTACTTCATAAGCTTTTCTTTCCACCTGGACAAGAAAAACATTAAAAATCGTGTTACCATATTGCTTGACAGTTGAGCTACCCACAAGTTCTGGGATTCTAGTCTAAATTCATGAACTCCGCCCTCCTTACAAAATAGTATATGACCAATTCCTCTCCCTCTAGCTGGGCTAGATGACATTGCTATTCTCAGTAAAACAGCTAAAGGAATTAGAAATGTCAGCGGGACAAGAAAACTTACCGGACCCAGATATTTGATGCACTGCTGTTGAAGCTTTGACCTTGGGCATCTTTCATGATTGATTTCCTTGCCTTGTCCAATATCAAGCCTACATTTTGGAAGTTAATTAGTATAATCGTTTACCCTTCTCCCGGGACCAATGCAAGCTTACCAATAAAAGAAAGGTTGATCGCTGTCGCAGCGGAGCCATCTGGCATAGTAAAATTGAAGATTATGGCCATAACGATGCCGAGGATCAATCTGTTCTTGAACGAGTGGCAAGTAGTTAGAAAAACTATTATTTTAATTATTTTATTGCACCGCTTTAGCTGCGAGACTTACTGCTTCTAGCCAGTGCTGTAAAGCTAGTTTACGAGCCTTCTCATCCTTTGATAGCCCCTTTCCAACCTGCCAAAAAATAAAAGGAGACTCATCAGCTCTTAAAACGCATGCGATAACAGTAACATATTAATAAAGTACACGTCATGATTTAAAACTTACTTTGGCAGCTCTAGTTCTTGCCCTTGACCACCGGGAAAGAGCAGTCTCTGGCTTCTCGATGTGATCAAAAAATGATATGGAACTCCGCCTTAGCTCAGCAAAATCCAACACCCTCCACCTGTAAGTGTTTTACATGAATTTGTAACAAACTGTGACACACAAAAGTGAATGAAAAATGAGGGATATTACAATGTTTTAATCTCAACTTCAAATTTGACAACTAATTGCATTTTTGTGAGATAGTTCCAAGTAGAAACTCTAATGTCCGGAAATGTAGAAAGTTAATGATTACTTTATTACTAATACTAGGTGGAGATAAAATTTTTAAAACAATAGGCTCAAATCAAGGAGAAGAAGAAAGAAAGCTACAGTGCGTCTTGCTTAAATAATGTATATATAGAGACACACGACATGCACACATATATTGATGTTAATTGGACAGGGCAAATCAAAGGTGATAAATACTAACCATCTCTGCTCTGCAAGAACTGCGCAGTCTGCCAGTTGCCTTCTTGTTCTGAAACTTTTGTAAACTTTCTGCAATTTGGTTGCGGCTTTGTCTCTTGGAGTAGCATAGGGTGTCTGTGGCAAAGGTGACTGGAGGTTCCTCTCGGAGAAGTTACTAGTTGATATCGACAAATCATCAAAATTGTCTTTCTTCCTTATGCTTATTGCCTTGCATGAGAAGTCATTCTCCGCATCTCCTTTGGGAGTTTTGAAAGAGAAAGCAGTCTCTGACTCCTGCCCCTTTAAGTTAAGTGCGCTTTCAAGTATCATCTTCTCAAAACTTTCCCAATGACTATTACTGAGACACGGCTTTTGACTCTAACTGTGCATAAAATTTGATTTTTAGAGAGCAGTTTCCAAGGAGGGACTATTAACCACTTACATCGGCTAACGGTCAGGAAAAAGGTCTCAATCAACAAGATTTAAGAACAAAATGTCTGTCTATAGGGAATGAAAATAAAAGGGTTCAAACATGCATCAAACTTTGGCACTATGGCTACCATTAGATGGCACCTTCACCAACAAAAATATATGATTTGAAACTTGAGGGATCAAGATCAAAATCAAAATGAGCCAAAATAAAAGCAAATTTGCAGAATCAACAATTATATTAACCCTAAAAAAATAAAAAGAATATATTTTACTTCAGACACCATCACACCAAAAAAAAAAAACACGTGCATGGAAAATATGGCTAAACGAGATTGCTGGAAAGATATGGAGCGCTGGTAAGATTCTTCTGGCTCAAAATATACATCTTGACGTCTCAAATTATCATTTCTCGTTAAGTCGTAAGGGAGCAGAGTCTACAGGACAAATAATTGTTTACAATGCTTCCAATCCTAACAAGGAACTAGCGGAGTTATTTTTCTAAAGTTCAAGAAGTGTTCTGTTTTCGACACACATTTAATTAGTTATTATTGCAGCTTAGTTACAAATATTAAGAAAAAAGGAAAAAGAAAAAAAAAATATTGTTAGAGATTTTACGTTTCAGGAAACTTGAGAAAAAAAGCAACGTTTCGGCCCATGTGTTGAAAGAAAACTAGTTTAATTGCCATTACCATTACGACATAAAACTTGATTTCAAAAACTGGTGCAGCAACTTCTCGGTTACTTTAGGCACGTAGGAGAGTTAAGACCAGCATCGTAACAGGTTCTGTATATAATCCGATAATGTACTGGGAGCAAATTAACGATAAAAGAATCCAAAAGAATTTGGAGCGCGCGCTCGCGCGCATGTTTTAAGCATTTCAAGAGAAGCAGGGTTACGAGACAATGCCATGATCGGATTAATTAATTGATCTTTTCCTTTGAGATGTTCGTCCACGTCATCTTGAATCATTCATTAATTTGTTACATATCAAATTCAGACATCATAAATTATTTAACATATTCCGGAAATTTTAGCATGTCGCACAAATTAATGATCTGAAAAACAAACATTGAGTTTTTCTGGTAAAGGAATCAAACAGGAGGAAGGGTTTACGATCGACAAGCATACCTTAGCCTGTGATTGTGGCGCTGGACCAGAAGAAAGGCTTCAAGGTGAGGTTGGGCGGAGGCGGGAAGAGCCAACTGAAAGCATAGAGAGAGATAGAACGAAGAGAAGCCGAAGAAATGCGAGGGAAATCGAACAATGAGGAAGAGGAAGAGATTGACGGACCTCTTGTTTTAAGAGGCTCTGAAGGTGAATTACAGGGTGGCTCCTTCATGCTTTTATATCGTGCAGCGTTCGATGCCGCAATACGTTGGCCTCTAATACTATTCTTGGGAGGTGAACATCACATGCAGCAAAAAGAATGTTTTTCCGCTAGAATGTAACTGTAGGGGAAAAATATGAATTATAATTACAAATAAATATAAATATTAATAATTAATTTAAAACCAGTTGTAAAGAGTTAATTATATATATTTGATTGCTTTTATCTAGCTCTCATAAATAAGTTATAGAAAAGTATAATAGATAAATACTATTACTTTCGATTCTTAATACAGGAGTATTAACTAGTTCGGAGATATTAGAAAAATTAATTAAATTAATTATTTATTATAAATATTATATTAAAAAAATATTTTTTTATTTATCAATATCAATATTTTTGTTACTTTGCTTATTCGTTTTGTTTATCAACCGAATTAAAATTACGAATCTACATGGAATTGCATAAAGTTGTTTGTTGAAAGTTAGATAAAATAATTTATCATTTAATTAAATTCAAGTTTGATATGTGGTTCGTTTCACCGTTTCCTCGTTTGTTGTCTACTTGCGTTTCTTTATTTTGTCGGGTACCTTCTTTTTTTTTATTTATTTGGCGTGTCAGGTAATTTTGATATTGTTTGTCGGGTACAATTATTTGTTTGTTTTTGCTACGTTTCTTTTTTGTTGGGTACAATGCTGCGTTATTTCTTATTGCAGTTTGTCCTGAGATTAATAGTTTTTTTTTTTTTGCTAAAATATAGTTATCCTCCTATTGGAGGCAATCCTATTTGAGATACTGTTGGGCACTAAATGTGGTCACCCTCCCAATGGGGATTTGAACTTTGGTTTATTACATTATAAGGGACTAGTTCCTTCTGCTAGACCTAATTCCTGTTAGTTCCTGAGATTAATGAGATGAAAAATATGATCTTATTGGACCCCATGTATGCCTTCACCGGCTTGGATGTTTGGGCTAGACGCAGCCGGCCCGAACCTTTCTTTCGCAAAAAAGCAAATTACAGAGGAACCATGTCTTTTTAATTTTTACTTTTTTTGTGACCTGAATTACGGAGGATTTAGATTTTTACTCATCGCTTTGCCCTACTTTTTGTACAAATTAAATTAGGCCTCAGCATTGTGCCTGTCCGGAGCTTGGGATTGGTTATATTTAAATAACTTTTCAA